ACGAAGAGGAGGAGAAAGAGGAGGAGGCGGCGGCGGCGGCGGCGGCGGACCACCCCCCTCCAACATTTGGTGGCGGTGGTGGTGGAAAGCACGCCCATCATTTTATTATTTGGGGTCCCTGTTTCCATGTCAGCCCCCGGGGAGTGCCGGGCCCTGGGCCCGTCAGACAGCGGCTCGGGATGAGGAGCCCGTCGCGACGGAAGAGGCCGAGAGGCCCGGGGCCCCACGCCTCCTTTTGTTTGGCGCAAGGTTTCCACAGGGGGGTCCCAAGTTACAGCGATGATGCATACATTACGCGCGTTAGCGGTGCACCCACGTCTCGAGCAAGATCCTGATATAACTTCTTGTCCAATCATCTGCTGCATGACAAGAGCTCAGCTGAGTCGATGGAGAGCGGGACGAGCCACGCTCAAATCAACCCTGCAAGGATCACAGCTCTGCACGTGCACACGACAGTTCTTAAATCGATGCCCTTGTAGAGTGAGGCAGGAAGGGCTGGGACGGGCGGGCGCCGAAAAGCTACAAGAGAGGGCACGGAGACAGGCGTGATATCAATGTCGCACAGAGCTCACCATGATATAACTTCTTTTCCAATCATTTGCTGCATGGCAAGAGCTCAGCTGAGTCGATGGAGAGCGTGACGAGCCACGCTCAAATCAACCCATATTCAGAACAACATACCCACATCCAGCACTGTAACTGGGTCACCGTAGAAGATTCCATTTTCTTGAAGTACGACGAAGAGCATAGGCCATGAAAAGCTCATTGGCCAGGATGTCTGCCAATTGGCGCGGGTATGCCGCCTTGGCGGCTGTGAAGAACCCGCCTCCTACTTTGGTCCCAGACAGGTTGAGATGTGGCTTGCCTGAAAAGTCGCACACGCCACGGCCGTGACAGCGCAGACGAGGCAACTTACGTGAGGCGTGCATGTTAAAATTCTGAGTCGCGTTCTTGCTCTGAAAGGGCGCCCACAGGCGCAATAATCTACTATGTAGTCAGTGGTGCAGAATTTGTCCGAGAATCTTTGGCGGGACGGCAAGTCCCACAGATAGCTGGTGCTTGGATTCTCCTCGCCTCCTGGAATATTACGTGCGGCCGCAAGTTGGAGCAGACCGAGAGCTCTTGCAGCGAGCACATTGGATTGCTGCAGGATCTCCAAGTCGCGGCCTTCCAGGTTCGGAAGACCTTGAGGGAACTCTGGGCTCCTCAGGGCATGAGGGAGCCGAGAGCCCGGGGGCCCACGCCGAGCGCGTGAGAAGCCTCCGCAAGGGGTCCCAGACCAAATGGCAAGCACTACACCAGACAATATCCAACCCCTCAGGCGGGAGTAGACGTCGTCGTTCAGCAGATCCATATGCGGACCTTGGTTCACGTCGAATGCTAACACCGCCACGCCTTTGCGCCTCATGGACGCCGTGAGCTCGCCAGAGCCTGCGAAGAGCTCGAGGAAGAGCCTGAGCCGGTTGCCTGGCCGAAGAGCCTGGTGAAGCGCAGCCTAAAATCGTGCTCCACGCGATGCATGAGATGCTCGAGTCGATCTCGCACATGTTGAGGCAGCAGTTGCAGCTGTAGTCCGACTCTGCCGTGCTTGTCGTACCTGGCCACACTGCTGTGCGCCTTCCAAATACCTCGGCGCTGGACCTCCTGCAATGGGCGTCGCCCAGCTGCTCGATCGCGGCTGGCCCCACCGCGCCTGAAGCAGTGCGGCGCGGGCTGCAGGGCCTGAATGCCCAGATCCTGAGCCGACCGATCGAGCAGCGACAGGAAGACTGTGTATGAGACATTGACCACGTGCTCCATGGGCTGCGAAGCGAAGGCCTCCTTGAGCAGCACCAACAACATCCCCACCCAGCGGTGTTCTGGGAGATCGAAGGCGATGCTGCTGTCCATCTCCCCTGTCTTGGAGGGGACTTGGAGCTCCGCGGCATTGAGAACAATGGTGGGGCAGCCTTCCGCCCCAGCCGAGTGGCGGTCGGGCGGCGCGATCTGAAACATCCGCAACGCGAGCAACTTCCCGACGCGGCAGTAGGTCTCGAACATGACCAAGCACCCCAGCGCCGCCCTCTCTTGCCCATAGTCCAGCAGCTTCGCGGCGATGGCGTAGGCGGCTTGCTTGGGCAGCGGCGGCCGCGATGCAAGAGGGCTGAGCCGTGTCCACCCCCGCATTGATGCGAAGGCTTGAGGGGAGAGCGTCCGAGCCGGCCCTCCCAGATGCGGCAATGCCCACAGCAGCGCGTAGATGACCTTGACAGTCGCCTCCCTTGAGTGCCCATCGTCGCGCCGGCCCTCGATGAAGTCGACCAGGGTGACGTCCCGCACCTTGGCCGAGAAGCGCGGGAGCTCTCGGCACTGCATGAAGAAGGCCAGCTGCTCGAGGATGCCCAGGTAGGCCAGCTGCGTGGCCTCGCGAACGCGGTTGGCCTACAAGCCAGTAAGACGAGGCACCGAACGATGTAGGAGTCGCTGCAATTCCACGTGATGCCGTTGCTCTCGGAGGCCC